AAAACCCAATTAATTTCTCATATTAAATATGGAACAAATGAATATTTATCTAAAGTTCAGCATCACATTGATGGAAACTCACTGCTAAAGCCTTATGGAATGCACCCTCAGACGAATTATAAGTAAGTGATGTACATCTGAAACCAAAGCCAATGTAGCACAACTTTTATTCTGAAGACCTCAAATCACCGTAGGGTGAAATTTTGAGGTACACCTGATATGTCCAGATATCTGACATTTTTGGGGAAAATTTTGAGGTCCAGATAATGTATCAAGCATAACATCTAACCAAAACCCAGGATCATTTTAGGATGGCTCTCTGGACAAATACTTAATGCACTCCAGGACGGATACACACACAAATATAGTAGGCTAACTTACTTGAGAAACCTACAGCAGCAATCCAACAGTCGGCCAATATTTTTAGCATCCTCCTCCGAGCAATCGACTGAATCAGTCCACTGATTTAGAATACAGACAATTCTTTGAAGCTGCAAGAAAGTTAACGGAAAACATTGCACTGGATGTGATAAGAGTTAAATATGATGTATTAGCAGGTGAATAAAATAAATTTTGTGCATTTTTCTGGTAAACACAAAATAAAAAGTTTGGATACAGCTGTATTTCTAGAATTTGTTTTTGTGCTGGAACTGCCTGATGTCTTGGTTTCTGTGTTGGCATTATCCAATTGTTGGTCAAGGAGATCATCTTCAATCAAGTCCGATTTGCTGAGCAGAACCAACACATACTGATTCAAACTAGACAGGCTCATCTCATTTTCCTTAACTCGAACTAGAACCCTTGCAATAGTACTCCACAGTGCACTTCGTGCTTCCAAATCATCCGAGGTAAAGGGAAAAATATCAAACAGACCCTGTAAGAAAAGATAATCTGGATAGACACGTTATTTTTCTTCAGATCAAGGGCTTGAGACATGAGTCCATGTGTGCAAAGGACAATGAAATTTACCCTCTGATACTTCTTGAGCTAGATGAGGCACATCGGCTAGGATATTTGCAATTAAAACAGCAGCAGTAACACAGGAGTTTGCAACCTGCAGGAAAATTAATATCAAAGATACATAAGTAGTCAAGCACCATTCCACTGAAGAACAAAAGAAGAAATTATCATCAACCAAATGGAATGCAAATGAACGAAGCACATATAAAGCAATATGGCATAGGCCACCAACTCCATTCCAATATATAGATTCAGAAAGTCAAGGAAGCAAACATAATTTTTCCGTTTGTCTGTCCTGCACAAACTCATACATCCTCTGAAGAACCACACTATCAGAAATCAAATCCGTTCACATTACTCAAAGATCTCAACTTTCACAATGCAAAAGCATTATGTTTAGTCATGTATAGTCTACATTCTCCCAATAATTAATAATTGGCAATAAAACCTTAGAGCAAATACCAGCAACATGTAATTGAAACCAAAAGCACCAAAAGTTCTGTTAATCTTAGCCATACAGAAATAATATACCTCAACTTTATCTGGAAGTTTGACAAGCTCACAAACTAGTTGAAACAGTTCCTTGTTAGAGCAGATCTGTTCGCAGACCCCATCTAGAGTAGAAAGTGTTTCAACTGCACGTAGAATTGAATCCAGAACAGGGTACCTGAAAAGAAGAAATAGATTAAATATCACATACAGTAATCTTACATTTAAAATAAAAAAGATCAGATACAGAAATCTTATGTTTTAATATAAAAGGCACAGTTTAGATAACCAAGGGAGATAAATCACTAAATGTTAGTGAAGGGCAAAAGATTTCCCATAAAAGGCAAAAAGCTTCAATTTCTAACTCAAATTCGTAGATGGCTTAGTCTTGCAGTTGTGAATCTAAAACATTAGTCATCAGTTGCCAATGGGAACAACATAACAGGGAAGCACAATTCAGGGATATAAGCTACATTTAGTTCACTTTCATCTCTGACAGAAATATCAACTTCATAGTTTTCCAAATACAAGTTTGCGTCCCATGCATGTAAATCAACAAATACTCAGGACAGATCTTCGACATGTTAGCTAACATTGAAGTGTAACTTTCTAAAATTTTTAGTCTCACCAAAATTTTGAAACCTTAATGATTTTCTGGGGCGCGTGCAATGTAACAGATACATTTTCAGGATGCATATCCCATTTTTTAGAAAGCATAATGAAGAATGAAGAATCGTGACCACAAGTGTCATTCATGTAAAGGTCGGACCCAATGTCTCAATCAGGAAACCCAAGGGGTGTACTCCCAGCAATACCAGTACAACTTCACATGTGAGCTTTGAACCATGAGACATAAGAAAATGTTAATATGTAGTTTCACAATTATCAATGATTCTAACAAGTAAACTCACAATATGAATCATCCAAACGCAATGGGAAACAGAAACTTGAACTGATTAGGGAAATGACTTCATCAGCAACGGAATGTAACAAAATTGGCAACAATCTAAAAGATCATTCATAAGTCTCAACCATGTGAACATTTTAGATGAAAGTAAAGCAAAATGGTACCTTTCAGGTACCCTCTCGGAAGTTAATCTTCTCATCTCAAAGGAAAAGAGGTTAATCAATGCACTTGATAATCCCAGCTTCATAAGAGATGAAAGAAAAACACATGAAACTTCCGGTGGAATTTCAAGGATAGCTAACAATAATCCCAGACTCTGTTCAAAAGGACACTTCATTAGCGAATGAATAGAAGAAGAGTGGAACAATAAGAAAAAAAAAAAAAGAAGAAGAATGGAGCTAAAAGTGTTAAGAAAAGACATGGATAATGTAACAAAAATGTTACAAAGTAAAGAAAAAAAGAGCAGAGTAGTGAAGCAACTAATGAACTCCAAAACTCCAAAAAAATTTCTTGATCCAAGCTAATTAATTTTCCATTTAACTAGCCAGCAATATTGCCTGATTACTAATTTAGACACCAGCAATAACTTGACAACAGTCATAGTTCATACAGAAATTAATAGCGTCAAAAACAATTCTACTTGCTTTCTGATTTTGAAGCTCCACAAAGGGGTAATTGAAGCCAACTCACTCGACGAATTATGATGGACACAAACGTCCAGAGTATTTCCAGTTTCATAGATAAATAAGTAACATTCTGGCAAGGCCTTATCTACTTTCCATGAATTGTTAACATATATGATTCTTTCGTGTAGATTATGAGCTTTTATTTTACCACTGTATGTGTAATGTCCAATCAACAGGATCACTTGTATCAATAAATAAATATATAGAACCTAGGTTCTTATACACATCGACAAACTAAAAAATGGCAACTGGAAATGCGCATTCATGGAAAGTTCTGCATACCTTTTCTAAGAGTTGAGAATTCAAGGTATTTTCTGTAATCCATAGAATACGGGAAAGAATATCTTCTGATTGCATTTCTTTAGCCCAAACTTTATATTCACCACCTTGAATACCCAAGGTTAGCAACCTGCATGACAATCCTGACAGTGAAGATGGTAGGCAATGGAATAAGACTATATAGCATGTTCAAAGGAGGAGGTAATTTAAGAGCATTGCTTAAGAAATGCATCCTAGGAATAATTGCGATAGCAACCATAATTATTAAGGGGACTGAAAAAGTCTCTGTTCATTCAAAAGGGAGTGAAAACAGGGAATTGCGATAGCAACCATAATTATTAAGGGGACTGAAAAAGTCTCTGTTCATTCAAAAGGGAGTGAAAACAGGGAAGCCAGAGTTATGAATTTACCGACAAGCTTCACATAGGCATTGAGTGTCATCTAGAAATAGTTGTGCGACAACTATTTCAGTCAGCCCACTTGTAGAGACTATTTGCTTCATTGGCATTTCGTGGCAGGCCAAGTTTCCAATAATGCCAAGGCAAATCTCCTAAGCCAGTAGTAGTACAAACCATAAAAAATCAAAGTCTAAAAAGAAAATTCCAAGAACAAACACAAACCAAAGACGAACATAATAAATCAAAGAAAGTAGTAGAAATGTGAAAGAAGAAATGTAAATATAAGTCTCACCGTAACACGAACTGATGAGGAAGCCATAAGGTTCGCCATAAGTACTTCCAGTACAAGGTTCTGCACCTGCAGTGGACACGCAGGCTTATGCATCCAGCAAGAACAAGCCAAAAACCTAAACCTAGTATTGCAACTTTGATATAAAAATATAGCAACAAACAGCTCAAAGAAAAGAACAGAAAGCATCGAATACCATTAGTTGTGCATGAGTTCTGCTAGCAGCAAGATCCCACAAAACACAACCAAACTCTTCCCAAACCTCTTCTCCAGCAGAAACACCTCCCTGGCCGGACCGGCTGGATAATTCACCGTCTTCACCGCCATTACTAGCCAACTGATGGCAACCATTAGCGGCATCCATGTTCTCTTGCTCATTTGTCAATGATCCGGAGACTTGGTCTCCACTCTCATCCATGTGATCCTCACTTCCAGCGGAGCTTCGGTGATTCGCCTCATTATAATTTGGAACAAGTTTCCGTATAAGAGAGATTATGTAACTAGGATCCACTGTTGTTGAAATATCAAATAGCTGCACAGTGATGGCCAGAAACTTAAGAAGTAATACTACAAGCATTCATTAGCCAATTATAACAACTATATCATAAGCTAAACTAAATCTCTTTTGTATGACAAAGAGAGCGAGAAATTAAGAGTGTAGAATTAAATTGGAGGAAGCGAGAGAGGAGAGATTATATTATATCCGTTGGATTGGGGTCCTACCTCATCGGGCGGGGCAGAAGGATGGTAGGATGCCGCCGCTTCATGTGCTTGGTATCGTTGAGGATGGAGGTTGCTGTTTTCATGCCCTACCTCTTCTTCTTCTTCTTCCAGTGGGTTTGATTTCGATTCGAGTGCCATTTTCAGATTTTGCAAATTGGCAGCAAAAACAGAGATGGGGTTTATGGATTTTAGGTGTTTTGGTTCGACGCGAGATTTTGCAGCGATTTTGGCAGCCCAAAAAATTGTCAGAAGAATATAGATTAAAAACTTAGCGGAGCCAGGTTTCGATCCTGGGACCTGTGGGTTATGAGCCAACCGCGCTTCCGCCACTCCGCTTTTGATTAAAATAATATATTTATATCATTAAATAAAATAATTAGTTACGCATTGTCAAAAGAATATAGATTAAAAATTTTGCGGAGCCAGGTTTCGATCTTGGGACCTGTGGGTTATGAGCCAACCGCGCTTCCGCTGCGCCACCCCGCTTTTGATTAAAATAATATATTTATATCATTAAATAAAATAATTAATTATGCATTGTCAAAAAAATATAGATAAGAAATTTAGCGGACCGAGGTTTCGATCCTAGGACCTGTGGGTTATGAGCCAACCGCGCTTTCGCATAAAAATTTAGCGAAGCTAGGTTTTGAACTTGGGATATAACGACCTGGGTAAAATTTTCGTGATTTTTACCAAGTTGTTTTGACTTTTACGGTGGTTAAAAAATTTTTATCGCGGTTGATCAAGAATTTTACCAATCCGAGTCAATTTTCATTATTTTTATTAATATTTTCACTACTCTCAAAATTATTACTGTTGTTATTATTATTATCATCGTTACCATTATTTTTATTATTTTTTCTAACAAACATTAATAGTGATATTATTATTATTCCGATATGGTATTTTTGTTGCATAATTTACTAATTATAATTTAAGAAGAAATTTAAACGTCGTAATTCGATGAATTCTATCAGACCGAGTTTTATCGAGGGTTTTTCCAGGAATAACCGAGCCTCGAAATTTAATTCAAAGGGTTACTCTGGATTTCCGAGCCTCCTTTACAACTAACCGAGCCACGGTTTTCAATTTCGAGACTTGGGCGACGCTCAGGGGTATTAATCAGATTTTCCGAGCCCAAGTTGTATTTTTGGACTCCGGGCGAAAATCCGAAAAGACGGGAGTACCGCTGCAATTCCGTTATCCCGTCACGAAAATCTGGACCGGCCAATCGTGGCTTGCCATGTGGCCACTCTTCTTCTCTTTCTTTTCTCCTTTCTTTTCTATTCTTTCTTTCTCTCTCCCGGTTTTTCTTCCGCCGCCCTACCCCACTTCTTTCTTTTTTCTTTCTTTTTATTTTCCCCATCTGTCTTCTTCATTTCCCTTTTCTTTTATTTTTCTTCTTTCTTTCCCCGATTTTTTTTCCACCCGGACCCCCCCTTTTCTTTTCTTGCTCCTCCCTTCTTTGTCTCTTCTTTCTCTTCTTCTCCTTTTTAATTTCCTTTTCCCTTCCCGATTCCACACCTCCCCTGCAACCATCTTCTCCTTCCCCATCATCTTCCTCTTCCTTTTTCCCCGAGACCACCGCCACCGTGAACCCCCAGCTCGCCACCTCTGCCTCCTCCTTCCTTTTTTTCTCCTTCTCCTTCCTTCGTTGACGAGGCCTCTGCCTCAAGCCGCTGCCACCGCCCCTGCACCGGAACGAATCGACGGCCACCACCCAGCGCTGTCTCTTCCTCTCACCGTCTCGCCCTGCTCGCCCTCATCTCGCGTCGCTCCCTCCTTCGCCCCGTTGCAGCAACACGATCCGCCGCCACTGCCGCCGTCGTCGTGAGTCGCCTCCTCCTCTGCTAATCGCGACACTGCCGCGTCTGCAGCCACCGACCCAACTCTTTCTTCTTCCTCATCAATCATTGCCGTTGGGGAGCAGAGCACAGAGCTGCTGCCCCCGCCTCTGCCTTTGACTGCCGCCTTTGCTCCACAGCCACTGCCGCTGCAGCCATCCGCCACCACCACCGAGGGACTAAGCCGAGCCACCGCCGGACGCAAAGGAGTCGACCTCTCCTCTCCTAGCTCTTCTCGATCTGCCGCCACCAACCGAGCAGAGGAGCAACGCCGCCGCTCCCTCTCTCCCTCCTATCCTCCGAGTCGCCGTCACGAGGGTAAGCCGTGACGTCGATCTCTTGATTTCCTGTCTTTTCTTCTTCGTCTTTGATCTGATTGCTTTGCTCTGTTTATGGTTGTGTGTGGTGGATGTTATGCCGATGTTGTTGTGGTTTTGCGTGGGGTTGATTTAGGGGCCTGACGTGACTGCGTGGAGGTGGAATTGGGTTGTTCTGTTGTTGAAGTAACAACAGCAGAGGGTGCTGCTTTCGTGAACAGTAACAGAGACATTGGTTGGGTTAGGGACTTCTGTGAACAGTACTTTGGCCGGATTCCGGCGAGCTTCCGGTGTCTCGGGAATTTCCGGCGAGGCCTCGGGTATCTTCCCACGAGACAGAACCGTTAATGAAATACCGTGGTAACTCCTTGGACCCGATTAACTCCTATGAGCTCGGGTTTGGGCTCGGTGCACAAATGGGCTCGGAAACGGGCCGATGTGCGGAGGCCCATGTTCTCGGGATGATATTAACGAACTCGTCTAACGGAACCAAACAATCGGACATATTAATAATCAGCCCTTTAATTGAATTTGGTTCAAACAATTAATAATTCTATGTACAGTTATTTGGAATATTATTCTTGTTAATTAATATAATTAAACAAAAGTTAATTTATAGTACGTTTTAAATTTCTCTTGGGCTAAAAAAAAGGGAAGAGGGCATAACATTAATACATACCTCCTACACAATCTAGACATCGGTTTTACTACTAATTTTGGAATACAATAGTAGTAATACTAAATCATGCATATGCTTATGTAAGTATCGATTTTCTATTACTGATCCTAAATGTATTATGGATATTTACATTATTAAATTTTTAAATGATAAGATATTTGAATACCAGTTATATTATCTTATTATCGATAAACATATTGTTATCATCTGTTGAATATAATATTGTGAGCTATGCAATCTATCATACTAGTATATACGAGTTTTATTATATTAGTAGACATCCGTTACATTATTTAATGAGCCATAGTATTAATATTAGCTTTACCCTATTTATAATTATCGATTATATAAGAATATATGTACTTATGAATATTCTTTCCTGCAATATTACATTATAATTATTTTATGCCATGTATCAATTATGTTAATTTATGACTAGAGGAAATAATTCCATTTAACGATTTTATTTATCAAACATAACACTTATATGTCCATTATGATATATTTGTCGGTTGTACTATTTAAATTACTATAACTGTCGTATACATAATGTGAAGGCCCTCTCCCCGAGGGACCCACCAAACTCAGGTATTGTTACATCACTCCCTCCGCCCGATTAAATCCTTTACCATGCTGCAGCACTAGGGATTCGAACTCGGGACGTGATGCTTTTTATCCCCCTCAAGGAGAGCACCTTCACCAACTCATCTGCAATTATTTTTATCGAGGATAATTATTTTTATGAAATGCTATTTACAAGTATTTTATCGACTATAATTATTTTACAGCCGTAAAAGCAATGTTTAATGGAAACAGTTCCGGAACGATGATAACGATGATTAACCGTGGATAAGCAGAATAATAATTAATCTTATGCATTGCATTCTTTGATGTGCATTATAGGTGATTATATGTTTTGATATGATATAGGGACAGATAAAGCCATATGTATTATGTACCGGTTTCAGAGGCATACCAGGTGAGGATATAAACTTATAAACTTCGGTATGCTGCCCGTGATACCCCGATTGTTTGTTTAATTGTTGTTTATATGTTATCTTGCGTACCTATCACGTTATTGCTGGCTACTGTTGTGATTATTATTATATGCTTGATGACTACTGTGGACTAGTTGTTGTGCTTTGCGATGTTGATATGATTATTGTGATGTTCGTATGAGATATGTGGTATTTGATCAATCAATGGCAGTGACCAGTATTGTGACGTTGGATTCCCAGAAGAGTTGTGAGGCTGAGAGCCTGCTCGAGAAAGTGAGTATGATGAATTACTGTTGGATAGTGGAATAAGAAATAATAATAAACAGTGGTAATATCATCTAGACATCTAGATTGTCACGTGACAGGTATTGGTACGGCCAGATGGTAGTCACCTTGTGATTGTGATATGATAGGGAGGACTGTAGGACTCAGTTGATTTGTTATAGGAAGGACTGCGGGACTCGGTTATTTGTGATATGATTCGTGATATTTAGCGGGGAGCACCCTGGGGTTAGCTAACCTAGCTACCAGGCACGGCCAATACTTATCATGTGACAAGGGCCCTAATAATAAAATTGGGTAGTCAGTCGCCGATTGTCAGTGAGTTTAGAGGACTAGCTTAACGGTGTGATGTCGGTCGTATAGTGAGGTCGGGTAAGTTGTTTGATTCTGGTGCTATGTTGTGCTTGTTGTACCTCTATTGTACTGTGTTGGCTTTGGTGTATATACGGTTGCTTGTATACTGCGGTTTATTTGTTTATCGGTGAGACAGTGGTTGGTCTCACCCCTCACACAGTCCTTGCAGGTTAGGTCAGGATTGCATTTCGGCGGCTGCAGTGTACCCTCGGGCAGGACTCGGATCCATTAGACTGCATCGGGTTTTGCATATATTTACATTGTGACCATAAATGCTTCCGCTGTGCTTTTGATGATGATGTACCCGTGGTCGGGTGCTTGTTATTATTTTTGGGCCAATGGGCCGGTTTTCTATTGTATTACACAGTTTGTGCCACGTGTCGGCGCTGTTGATCGGTAATTACTGTGCATTGGGTAAATAGTAGTCGGGGCGTTTCATGGGTCCTGTGGGTTATGAGCCAACCGCGCTTCCGCTGCGCCACTCTGCTTTTGATCAAAATAATATATTTACATCATTAAATAAAATAATTAGTTAGGCATTGTCAAAAAAATATAGATAAAAATTTTAGTAGAGCCAGGTTTCGATCCTGGGACTTGTGGGTTATGAGCCAACCACGCTTCCGCTGCGCCACTCTGCTTTCGATCAAAATAATATATTTACATCATTAAATAAAATAATTAGTTAGGCATTGTCAAAAAAATATAGATAAAAAATTTAGCAGAGCCAAGTTTCAATCCTGGGGCCTGTGGGTTATGAGCCAACCGCGCTTCCGCTGCGCCACTCCGCTTTTGTTTAAAATAATATATTTACATTATTAAATAAAATAATTAGTTAGGCATTGTCAAAAAACTATAGATAAAAAATTTAGTGAAGCCATGTTTCGATCGTGGGAGCTATGGGTTATGAGCCAACCACACTTCCACTGTGCCACTCCGCTTTTAATTAAAATAATATATTTATATCATTAAATAATATAATTAGTTAGGCATTAAAAAAACTAAGGGCGTGTTTGTAATTGATTTCTCTATTTTGTTGCCGAAAATAGTTTTTGAATTAAAAAATAGTTTTCACTATAAAATAAGCCCCCAATTCTTGTTTAGATACTCTGAAAAAAAAAAACAATTGGGAGAAACCTTGTCAACCGATGACGAGGGGAGATGAAAAAGAACAACTCTATTTATGATGAAAGAGTTGGGCAAAGATCAAGGAAACAGATTCTTAGGCTTGGGAGAATTGGAGGAGAACACGATGAGGAAGAGGATTTCGGAACACTGTAGCTCCGGCAAGGCGTTGTCTAGAGAGGATGTCGGACGCTTGGACAGAGAAGGAGGCAAAGAAAACCAATAAGAGAGACTTGGAGAAGAGAGCTTTTTTTAATTTAGAGATGAAGAATAACAATCCAAAAGGAATTCTTCTTGGGAGATGCAAGCACAAAGGAGAAGAGATGGAGAGGAGCCGGCATGAAAGAGGGAGCAATTAGAGAGAAAAGAAATTAATTCGGATAAAGAAAATGAGAAAGTTATTTATCTATATCTTTTAATTACGAAAATGCCACCTCTCAAAACCATATTTTCTAGTTTTTATATTTTTTAAAATAATGAAAATGCTTTTGGGTGGTATTTTGTGAGATTGGTTTGGGAGAATTGTTTCCCAAAAGTTGTTCTCGAGAATAGAATCTAGAGAATATCTAAAAGATGTTTTCGTTGTTTTCCAAACCTCATTAATGGTAATTTTGTAAATAAGTAGGACTATAAATATATTTTTTTCTTCTTTCCCAGGCATTTAATCGGGTTCTTCTTCTTTCTTCTCTTCTCTCTCCTCTCTTCCTCTCTCTCTGATCTGGTTCACTCCATGTTTTCAAGCTCTTTAATCTTCCGAATTTGACTAACTCTTTGTCTATATAAGTCTTTTCTTCATCCGCCATCTATTTTGTAGCTATATGAAAAAATCCAAAAATATGTTCAGCATCAGTGATGTTCTTTAGCCAAATTGATTTATGATTTTTGACCTAATCTTTTTCCGCCTAATTTTTTTTATATATAATTTCTCCATCATCCAACATTTCTATTTGTGGGTTTTGACCTTCTTCTTATGATTCTTCTTGGTTTTGTTTTAGTCTTTTTATAGATTTTGATTTTTTTTTAGATGAACATGAAATAAATCGATTTGGGATTTTCTGGTTTTTTTTTTCTTCTTGCCTTATTTGACTCTTGATCTGATAATTCCTTATTTTTTATTTTTTTTTTACAAATTCTGTCTTTAAAGGACTGGTACGTTATCCAAACAAAATTTTCAAGTATTTTTGATCTGCAAAACACTTTTCTAAAATTCATCTTGAAAACAATTCTCTGAGTTCAAATTTAGAAAACAATTCCAAACATGCCCAATGTTCCCAAAACCAGATTTGAGAAAATTATTTTTAAAAATAAATCTCAAAAACAACCCACCAAACAAGATTTTTGGTTTTTGAGAATAATAAAAACAAAAAAAAAACTGTTTTTAAAACCTGTTTCAAACAGGCACGGGTTAGTGGCACAACCAGAATAAAAGTGTTGGAAAACCCCGATGGGTTAGATCAACTAGTTGAAGTTGTTCTAGCTTAACCAAGGGATCTCGAGTTCGAGTCTTGGGAAAGCAACACTGTAAGGGCTAGAGAAGCCAAACTTTATCGTTCCAATCATGTCTTGATCTGAATTAGTCTGGACCCGTTGTTATCCCTTAAAGGTTGGGTTGTCTGAGGAAATCTCTGCGAAAGTTAAAAAAAGAAAAAGTGTTGGGAGGGCCGCAAAATCGCCCGACGTGAAACACAAACCTAGACTGCCTATAAGAGGCTACGGCTCCTAATAAGAGTAGGACGATGATATCGGTAGAAATATAGACTAGAGCTGAAGATGAACTATTTAATATTATTTTATTGCAATTATTTATTTAAAAATCAATAGAGAAAAATTGTAAAAATGTGTATTTTCTAATTGAAAAATTAGCATCAATTTGCGAAGAAAAGTGAAATATCTTTTTATTATTTTAGCCTTTGGTATAATAAATATAATAGAGTCCACCCACTCAAACACAAGTATGTTAAACTCTCCACTAGGCTCAAACTTGTTGGCCTAAGGTCGGATTAGTATGTGCTTTGTGTTAATTATTTTTCCTTAATCTTGATTAAGCACACTAACCGAGGTATTTGATTATGTATCGATTAGTAGTTGATTTAGTTTTAATCTTATGTCTTAATCCTCCTTATGCCTAGCTATGTTTTGATGCTAACAAACTTTGAAATTTCAGATTTGTATATTCAACTTAGCATGCATGTGACATTGTGGGAGTTTGAAGTTAGTGGATTGGTATGTGTGTTAGTTTATTGGGTTTAATACTTGAGATGTCACTTTTATGGACCGTAGACCACATTGATTATCTTACAACTTTGAGGCAATTGTTAGAGATGCTCCCATGATCTATAAAACTGAAACCTAGCTTGATTCAACTCAGAAAATGTTTGTTTAGTGTTCTGGACAGGTTTCACAATGGATGGATTTAAATCTGACAAACCTAGGATCATCAAACCTAGGTGTTTGTCCAGCATGTGCTGATCATCTTGCGTTTTGGGACCACTTGTTGAAGATGCTCCCTAACTCTATAAACCCGGTACATAGCTTATGTTGAATCTGCAGGAACGTGTTTAAAGATCTGGAAAGCTTCCATAACAGCTCATGTTGATTCAGTCCAACCTAGGAGTATCAAACTTAGGAGTCTGCTAAGTATGTGCAGACCACTTTCTGCAAAACGGATACATTTACGATTTGGCACCAACGATGCCAAATCTCGGGGTAGCAGACAGTGACAAGAGATTGATGAAAGTTGGCTTTTCTTGATCTTTGTGTCAAGCTAACCTACTACTAAGAAGTCAAAAGAACCTAGTACTTTATCATTTCTGCAGTCTGACCATCTTGATTAAAGACATCACAACAGATCCCTAAATCAGATGGAATCAATCATTTGGGTCCAACCTAGGACTTGGCTAAACATGGGTAGACCTGTCAGATGAATGGCATGATTCAGACCAAAAGTGTGAAAGCAACCACAGGGAGATTTAAACGTTGCCACTCTGGTCTCAGTCAAACCGAAACAGCTGTCTGCTGAGAGTGACACACACAACCGTTTGAATTTCTTGGAAAGGCCTATCTTATTGTGTCTCTATAAAAGGCTGATGACTCCATGAAGAACAACAGAGCTGCCAATGGAGAAATAAGTGAGAAATTAGCAGGTGTTCAAAGATCCTTCCTTGTGCATTACTTGTAAATCTCTTGAGTGAGTCACTCATGAAGATATCTTGAGAGAGGGTTATATCTTAGACAAGCTTATGAGTGCTTTGTGCTGATTAGTGATAAGTAAAGCTAGGATTAGCTTTGAGAGAAGTTTTGCAAGTTGCACCTTAGAAAAACTTGTGAGAGATAGGCTTTGTTGGTTTAACCTGTGAAGAAACCAATTGAGTGAGGTAGGATAGGGGATATCTTACTGGGAAACTAAGAGCAAAGCTTGGATTAGCCTTGTGGGTGTGAGAGGTTAGAGGTTAGCCTAGGTAAAACCTTGTACTATAGGTTATTGGTTGATCCTGTAAAAAACCAAGGTTAGTGAAGGTTAGAAATCTCAAGGTGGACTCCTTAAGTAGTGGAGGTAGTCCTGTGTGGCGAACCACTATAAATCCTTTGTGCCAATATCTCTAACCCTCTTCTTAATTGTGTTTTAGTGTGTTCATAATTTCCCAGATTTAGATACAAAGTCGATTTGGCATTAGTGACGCCAAATCGGTGATAAAGCCCCCCCCGGCCCCTTCTTAGCCACTTTGGACTTACAAAACTATTATTTTCAGAAAGCAAGATTTCCTTGGGATTTACTACTTTACAGGTTATCCACTTTATAATGAGTTCTTTTTTTTTTTTTTATCATCCTAATGAGCTCTATGCTCCCCCTAATATACCTATATATATCCTAATTCCATCCTAATCCAATCTATTAAATCCTGCGTGCACCGCTGATTCAAACTTGGATGGCCTCGGTGGTTCGAGGACTTAGATGCTAATGCGACTAAAGGGTCGTTGGCTTCTAATGAGTTCTTTGGTTCGCCAATTTTATCGTATCTTTTAGTTAGCACATTGTTTATGATATTACTAATAGAAATGCAATGCTGGTGGTGGATAAATATTTTTTCTAAGAATATTATGGCATCCAGAGGCGGTGGGCTAGGGGCCAAGGCTTACCTTGATTTTTTGGAAATTTCTTTATATTAAGAGTATTTTTATAATTTTGTAATTATATAAATAAATATATATTTTAATAAAAAATTAAAATTGTGGCTGATAAATTTTTTTTCTTCCAACATTTAATGGATTATCAGTTGTGGGCCCAACAAAGGGAAATTAAAAACTCCTATTTCAACATAAAAGGAAAGAAGAAAGACGGTGAAAAGATTCTATAAATATATTACAGTGTTTTTCTTTCCTATTACTTTTTTCAATAATGCTATTTGCCACTACATACATCACTCCTGAAAATTTCAGGGGTGAGGTGGCATCCTATGTGTATAAGTTTTTATGTTGAGGTGTATATTCTATTTGTTTATTTAATAATGTGTCTCATTAATTATTTTAAAAAATAAAAATGATAAATCTAATATATTTTCGCCAATTACTTTCTTCCGATTCTCCTCCACGGTGACTCTGACCCTCTCTCCCAAAGATGAAAAAAAATCCCAGATGGAAGAATACCAAAAATCTGTAAAGCTAGAAAACTTTTTTGATTTCATGATAGACATAGGCAACCAAAAAACAGATAAGCTTACCTTTGTATTTATTTATTTCCACAATCTATTTGAGTTTTCTTTTGATGCTAATCGAAATTTACTGGAAGAAAGAAAAGTTACAAAAAATTACAGGGGAG